TGAAAACAGTCCAAGTCTAAGGGCATCACGTGAGCAAAAGCATACTTTCCCCCGCTCATTCAAACATGCCTACTTTTTTCCTCCAGAGCTAAAATAAATCACTGTGGTTTTTTGGCATGGGTAGAAGAAGAAAGAAAAAAATGCTAGACTGTCACTCAGCAAATTAGCGCACACTCTGGCAAGTACTCCAGGGCCCAGACCTCCTGAAGGGACAGTGAATCCGCATCCCCCGTAGTCCTCCGTGCCTCTGTGGGGAGCGGGCCAGGACCTGCTGTTTTAAGTTGTAGTGTTCTGTTTGCTTCTTGTATAGAATTGGGTTTGCATCATCTGCAAAGCATTGTAAAGCCCCTTGTTTTTCTTGTTTGTTTTCTGTTTATTTTAAAGAGTAGGTTTCAGCACTTACTCAGATCTTGTTTGTCCCTACAGTGTGGATAAGACACAGGAGCCCCTGCCTGGTGCCTGGCGCTTTGGAGACAACCCGTCAATGCTTATCACTCCCCCGCCCCTCATCTTGCAGCCTCGCATTACCTTGATGTGATTCCATTCACAGGGAGGCCCCAGCCTGCGTCTGAAGCGCACCGCGGTCCTTGTCTGAGTTTAGGCAGGTGGATTTCCGTCCCTTATGCTCACTGTTCCAGCGCCAAAGTCATCCCCTTCCCTTCTGCTTCTCTGGATCTTAAGATCAAGGAGCCAGGTTCAAACGTGAGCCCCGCCAACTCCTGTTACGACGTTGAGCGCGTTCTCCAGCCGTCGCGTCCAGACATTCTAGGTGCAGAGGCTTCTTGCTTTGACTCCCATGCCTTTGGTTCATGCGGCAAATAGCTTTACCTCCATGGCGGCAGAGTCGCTGAGGGTAACTTAAATAAATAAAACGCCCTAACGAGTGCCTCCAGTTTGCCAGCGAGGGAAACAGTTGGCGAGCAGATAGACGACATCGCTGTTTTCAAGTCCGTTCGAGGGTGAAGACGAGTATGCAGACGATCATGACGGAGTGTGGTCGGCCCTCTGACACGCAAGGGCAGGGGGCACAAGCACTGGGCGCCCGACCCGCGTTTAACGTGTCAGGGAAGAATCCCTAGGGCGTATCTAAGACGCAGCCTGAATTAGCCAGGAAAGGACAGCAGTGTTTTTGCTGAGCGGCACGTGACGAGGACCCAGCAGCACAGAGAAGACTCCGCCACGTTACAGGGCGCAGGCGTCTCACGCAGCCGGGGTGTGCGGCGCAAGGCGGGAGTGGCGAGAATGAAGGTTAGGGAGGGAGGCGCAGCTCCCAACGTGCAAGCCGGGCAGACCTGTCAAAGAGTCACGTCGGGTTCTCTTCCCAGTGCAGGAGTGGGCGGTGCTGGTGAGAAGTGACGGGAGCCTGGCCGGGATGCTGGGGACAGCGGTGCACAGTGCAAGGTTAAGGAAGGTGTTCCTTGCGCTTTCTTGGTCATTCTGGCTGTTTTAAGGTGGGAGACAGTGTGAATTTCCAGTACTGATGGGAAGGAGCGTGAAACAGTGCAGGAGAGGTGAAGACGCGGGAGGAGACCCCCTACGAGGGGCTGCAGCTGGCGGCTGGGTGTAGGCGCGCCGCTCTGTGGAGAGGACTGAGGAAGTGCGTGTGCTGGCCTTCTCAGAAAGACGGTGCTGCCTGCTGAGCAGAGGGGTGGGAGCTGCTCGGAGGCTGACTCAGGAGAGGGGCACAGATGAGGTGTCCGGGCTCGGGTGCCAGCGGTGGCAGCGGCACGTCGCAACTCTGAGGATCTTCAGGAGGGAAGATCGACAGCCTTTGACAGTTGTTAGATTAGAGGGGAGGTTCTAGGTGTGAGGAGAGAGGAGGTTCTAGGTGTGAGGAGAGAGGAGGTTCTAGGTGTGAGGAGAGAGGAGATTAGAGGGTTGGGATGGGACCACATGGTGACCCGGGAAATCCAATCAGGAAAACTGGGTAACTGCTGGAGAGCCCAGAGGTCTGAGCTCTGTGGGGAGCACAGTGTGTGCATCCCTGCTCCCGATGTACGGGCTTTCTCAGTCCAGGCGCAGGCGTGTAGAGCAGCCATGAGATTGACCTTGGACTGGAAGTTTCCGTGACAAGTGTGATAAAGGCCAGCGTGTAAGAGCTTTGAGGGTATTAGCAAGGTAGTGGGAGATACCACAGCCCAAGGAAGTGAAGACCCGAAGGGCTGTTAGACAAAAAGAAAGAAAACACTGGCGGTCCTTTTGATAAGAGGAGGAATAACTGAGTAGGAGGGCTAATGATCAGGGATCGGGGTCTCACACGGGGAAGCCTGAATCTAATATTGTGGTGATGAAATAGCTCCTAGTGAGGCAGAGTCAGGGTTTGCGTAGTTTGTGGTTGAAGTGAAGTAGAGAGGAAGTAGGCTCTCTGCAGGGGTGTTGAAGTCGCCCCCGATGACGGCAGGATTGGGGTGCAGAGGTGACGAGAGCAGTGGTACCAGACGGGGCAGGACCGCCTGCCACGGAGAACCGTGGACTTTCGTGAGGGCACCTTTTCTTTATGCAAATGGCTGAGGACGCCGGGGATGTACACCTGACATTTCTATGGAACAGAAACCTGTCCTGCATCCCACACGACTTCCCAGTGTCATGCCAGACGCTGAGGGACTCATAGATGACTCACCTGTCCCATCTCAGGGGAATTATTTTTACGCTGCACTTGCACATACACTGCACGTGCTTTGTAAAAGTTTTATTTTCTTCTCTTTGATAGCCTTGATGTGTTGTATCCCTGTTTCCTTATTAAGGCTGCTCTTTCCTCTCTTTCCTTAGCATATTCCAGTAAGACCCATCTGTGTTTCCATCGAGTTGCTAGACTTTATTCTGATGTTCACCTGTATCCTGGGGCTTTCATCTCCTGTTCTTTCTGGTACAGGATGGCTGCTAGTCTTTTTATTACGCTGAAGTCCAGACTTATTTAGAATAAGTAGGTGCAGACATCTGACTTCATTTTCTCCAGTCATGCCCGAGCATTTACATATCGAAATACACATTGTTTTATTGTAAATTACTTTTTGATCCTTCATATATTACAGCTAGGGCGTTATATTAATTTGGAGGGAGAAAGTATATGCACTAGCAAGTTATATCGGCTGTGAATGCCATTTCAGGATAAAACTGGGATATTACAGAGTATTCTTTTTTTTTTTCTTTTTCTTGGCGGGGGCGTACACGGGCCTCTCACTGCTGTGGCCTCTCCCGCTGCGGAGCACAGGCTCCGGACGCGCAGGCTCAGCAGCCATGGCTCACGGGCCCAGCCGCTCCGCGGCACGTGGGATCTTCCTGGACCGGGACACGAACTCGCGTCCTCTGCATCGGCAGGCGGACTCTCAACCACTGCGCCAGCAGGGAAGCCCCAGAGTATTCATTTTAGAGAGAGACTTGAGAACCACTGTCCTGGGGCAGAGAGCTGGCACCCGGCAGCCGCGTGTGGGAAGGTGGGCGGCGCTGGCGAGTGGCCAGCGGGGGGCAGGTCAGTTTGTGCAGGCGGAGGCCCCTTCGTCTTGCTCCCAGCTCGCCCCCACCCAGACCCCCAGCCGCTCTGCTCTGTCCTCCTGGGTGTTCTCCATTGTCCAGCATAAAACCCCATGCTTTTCAAAGCCTGGAAGAGTAAGCAGGCAAGGGAATGAACCCTTGAATACCTGGGTGCGGTGCTAGTTACTAGACGTGGGTTTTCATTATTCCTCCCAAGAAAGGGAGCATGGTTCCTTTTAGGATTAGAATGAAGTCCAGCCAGGGCTCAAGGACGAGAACGTGTCCAGTGTCTTAGTCCTTTCAGGCCAGCACAGCAAAATATCACAGCCCAGGTGGCTTATAGACGACAGACATTGATTTCTCACGGTTCCGGAGGCTGGAAGTCGGAGCTCAGGATGCCAGCAGTGGGGGCGAGGGCTCCCTTCTCTCCTTGTGTCCTCACCTGGCCAGGCGCTAGGGGCCTCTGTGACATCTCCTATAAGAGCACTAAGCCCATTTATGGGGACTCCACCCTCGTGACCTCAGAACCCCCCAGAGACCTTTGCTTCTAACAGCATCACGTTGCGTTAGGGTTCCAACATGTGAATCTGGGGGGGACACAGACATTCAGACCACAGCATGGGTGTCGCCAGGTGAGGGAGTGTTGAGGATGGGCATGTAACGGAGGGCAGTCTGGCCCTGCGGCTTGCGTTCTGCTCAAGGCGTGACACCGTCACCAGATAGACCTCGATGGCAGGGCTGTGAGAAGCTAGGCGTCTGGGGCTTGTGCCCTTCTAACTCTTGATTTCAGACTCATATTCGAAACCACTCTTCGTTTTCTGGCCCCAGTCTGTTCATTTTGTGTGACTCTCCCAACCCAGTTACTTTCTCTGAAGGCAGACTTCACTTATCTTTTAATCTTCCCAGCGTTTACTGTGTGCCTTGTTCACGACAGGTGTTAGTATGTGCACACTGATGGAAATGCCTCAGGTCTATGTAAGTTTTCAAAGGCTTAAGGACCAACTGAGAATAAACAGTGCTGCAGAGGGGCTTGACGTTGCACTGATGGTTTTGCAAGTTTAAAATGCACGATTAGGTGTTTGCACCTAAAATAAAATCAAGGTTCAAAGATTTTCTTTTATTAGGATCTAAAAACGTTTAAAATTGTGTAATTCGTTTTTTTTAGGTGCACCTGTTTTTTAAGCTCTTCGGGATACCATTACCTGTTAATGTACTCAGATACTCTTGAATGTTTCATTTAAAACAAAGATTTCTAATCTTTTTAATGGAAAGATGGGGATTTAAATTTAAAAAGTAGAAAAGCGAAATACAAAAAAAAACAGGAAAAATAAGGAAACAAAAAGTAGAAAATCAAGCAAATAACTCCTAGTTCTTTCTTACGTACAACTTAACTAGAGATAATCTGTTGACTTGGGATGCACGTGAAGTTGGATACACGTTTTCAGTCTGTCTTAACGGATCATGTCAATCGTAGCAATGTTTATATGGTGTTCTGTTCAGGAGTGAATTTCTGTTTTCCTGTTTTTCAGGTCCTGTAGGGGTAGGTTTGAATGAACTGAAACGAAAGCTGCTGATCAGTGACACACAGCACTACGGCGTGACGGTGCCCCGTAAGTTCTGTGCCGTTTGCTGCTACTCCTGCCGGCCCAGCACATACACAGCATGTGTGCTGCAGAGCCCTGCTGTCAGCACTCACATGTAGACCTCACCACAGCCCTGGGGAGTAGGGAGTGACAGTGTCCACATTTTACAGAGGAGGAAGCTGAGGCACAAGAGTTCAGGGGTTTGCCCCAGATGACACAGATCACTGGCAAGGTGTTTGTTGCTTTCAGCTTCCCTACTCGCATTTTTTATGGTGGATTTTAATACACGTATGACATCAAATTATTACTTACAAGTGTTCTGCTCAGTAGTTTATTCTGTTTCTTCAATTTCCAGAGTTTTCAATGAGCTTTAAGATTAGAAGGGCCAAACTGCAGAGAGTGAAGGAGGCTTCTTATAAATGTTTCTTAATTACTTTTCATATTGTAGTAATTGGCAATAGTAATTTTTCATGGCCATATAATCCAAATGTGGTAGGCTTCTTTTCAGTATACAGAATTAGGTCTATTTTTATAAAAGTGGTTTTCACAGGCATTCTTACGAGTGAAATGTGATCCTGGAAGCATTTTGATACCCAGAATAAATGCCATTTGACTACTTAATAGGTTGATGTTAGGGAACCATCTAAAAGACTAGATTAAATGTTGGCTTTTTAAGTGATTTTAGTAATGTTAAAAAAAAAAGTCATTTGTATAATGCCCTTAGCAATGTTCTCTAGTTTTGGACTAGTTGAACTTTATTTTAAAATTATAGTTTTCTGTTACCTTGTTACGCCTTGTTACTGCATTTTTCCAAGTTATTGTTTGTAATCATTTTCAGCCGTAAGTTATAGGGCTGCTGGTTTCTACCAACAGAGATGAAAGTAAAGGAAACTGGAAATATGGAATTAAACAGTTTCTTTTTATTTCTACTTTAATTATGTACTTCTCTCACAAAAGCTGAATTGCAATATACAAGTCATTAGAACATTTTACAAAACAACTGTTAAGCTTACAGGTGAGCAATTACAGAAGAAACCTAGAAGATGGAAAACAGATTACAAAGGAAAAAAAACAAATTAATTTCCTACTGTGTCTTCATTGCCCTTATTTGTCTTATTTTGCCCTCCCAACAACGGTGTAAGATGGGCAATATCTCCATGTCACAGAGGAGGAAACAGGTGAAAGGATACTTTGATTGACTCAGAGGTCCCATAGGCAATAGCTGCACTTGGATTTGAAGCCAGGTCTCGCGTTCTCCCTACCATATAATGCTGCGCAGCCCCTTGCAACTCCAGATTCTCTTTACTGTAGCCCAATTAGTAGTAAAAACTAATTTCTTTTGAAGAGGATAGAGGTTAATGAGGCTGCCTATCAAATGTAACCCTCCATGATAATTTTGGTATTACTCAGGGCACTTTGGACTCAGTTAATCCAACTATTAAAATACTGTTTGCATCTGAAGTTGTTATAGAAGTTAACAACATCCAGAAATGTTCTGGGGCTGAGACTCTCCAAAGAAATCCCTAAAGGAGTAATTTTCCTTTTTAAACAGGTGTTAATGTCAAAAGATCCCCAGAACGCAGTGTTTTCCATACCTGCCTGATAATAAGAGTCTCCTGAGGTTCTTATGAAAAGATTACAAGGCCTTTCCAAAGAGATTCTGCTTCTGGAGACCTGACAGAATTCCTGAAAATCTGTATTTGTAGCACGTATCCCAGGTGATTCACTGTGTCAGTCATGTGTGAGAAATACAGCCATAGCATCAAATGAGGATGATTTAATTAATTAAGAAGGTATTTGAAGAGCAGTTTTGGAATTTTAGATTGCTTTGCTTTGTAAAAGACTTTATTAGGTAGAGTCGTGATCATCTGGAGAAAAATTATTGCCTTGATTATACCACCGGTGTTCTGTTGGATGTTTAAATTCTCTGTTCCAAAAAATGTACCAGATATCCACCAGAAGGGGTAAATGGAAAAGATTTGGAGCAGTGGAACTCTCGCACATTGCTGGCGTGGGGAAGCAGAGTAATTCAGCCACTTTGGAAAACTACGGATCTGTTGAGGCTGAGCAAACCCGATACCCTGTGACCCAGCCGCTCCGCTCCTAGGACACTCCTCCCAGAAACGCATACAATATGTACTCAGACATGCATAGAAACGGTACTCAGAAGAGCTCAAAACTGGAAGCTACCCCAGTGCCCATCAGTAGTAGACTGGATAAGCAAATGGTGGTATATTCACACAGAGGGATGTTGTAATGCAGTGATAATCTGCTACCGCATGCAGAAGTACGCATGACTCCCACAACATTATGCTGAGCAAAAAGAGGTCGACAGACGCAGAAGAGAATGCGCTTATGACGCCCTTTTTATAAATGCAGGAAAGGCAGTGCTGATACGTGCTGTTAGAAATCTTGAGGAGGTGGGTTGGAGGGGGTTCTGCGTCCTGGCAGTTTTCTTCTTCAGAGTACTGGTTACACGGGTGTATTTGATGTGTGAAGATTCATCGGGCTTCCATGGGAACTTCTCTGTATATTATACTTCAGGTTTTTAAACATAAAAAAGAAACACTTGGTAGTTAAGTTAATTGTTGATTTAGTTAATGTCCTGGTTTTGATAGGTACTATAGTTATGGAAGGTGTTACCCTTGGAAGAAGCTGAGTGATGGTTACATGAGGCCTCTATGTGCTATTTTTGCAACTTATTGTGAATCTATGATTATTTCAATTAAAAAAAAAACTTTTTGAAGGGATGCTAAATTAGGTAAATGCTATTTCTTTCGTGCTAAAATGGATGAACAACCTATATGAACTTTTAAAATGATCCACATAGCCATATTAAACATGCCAGGTTGCTTTTAACGAAAGTGGTCAGAGCCCCTGATTTCTGCCTAAAAGTGCTTCTGTGTGGGAAATTTCATCCTTGATAAGCAGCATCAACATTGTTTCAAGGCCCCAGTTTATCATAACAAGTCTATATGGCTATTAACATAGTCTTTCAAAAGGCTTTTTCAGTAAATTAAAACAGTTAACAAAGCGTTGTTAGAGTGGATATCAAATACTTGATGGATTCCAGAGTGTGTATAGTCTGGAATGCGGGTGCTCTCGCAGCCAGCCACACCTGTTAAGCACTCTCTGTGGTTTCCCATGAAGGTATATGCTACGGTTACGTGTTGTCAGAGGTTTCAAAGGCCTCATGCTCTAGAACACTTCTTTGTAGATAGGATATCTCTGTTGAGATTTCTAAAAATACGTATGTATATTGCAAGTTAGGGGACCAGTTAAAACTTTTTTTTTTCTTCTCCTCTCACCATGGTGGTTATTCTGGGGTTTTGTTGGGAGCACAGGAAGACAGTGGAGTTCATTTCATGTTTGTTTGATGTTTCTTTTAACCGATAAACATGGCACTTAAACAGTGAGTCATGGCGAGGCAGTGGCCTGTGTTGTGGTTTGATGCCCATCTTTGCCTTCTAATTCCTTCTCGTAAGCGTTTTCTGACCTCTGATTCAGGATTGCTCACGTTAACAAGCGTATGAGATTCCTATGGTGCCTCGTTACAGTTAGGCAGTAAATTCTTCACCGGTAAAACCACATCAGACCTGGATAGTTCAGGTTGATCATGATACGCAATTTGGTTGTAGATGTGTTACCTTGTAACTGTGTTTAGCAGTGTCATAAATGTCTTATTCACTTGATCTGGGTCTAATAATATTTTTAACCCTCCCAAGGGGATTCCATGTGTCCGTGCAGTAATCCTGAAACTGTGTGTTCCAGATTTTCAGTGTTCTGCCATTAAAATTGAATAGTTTGTGGGTTTTTTTGTTTTTGTTTTGTTGTTTTTTTGCGGTACGCGGGCCTCTCGCTGCTGTGGCCTCTCCCGTCGCGGAGCACAGGCTCCGGACGCGCAGGCTCAGCGGCCATGGCTCACGGGCCCAGCCGCTCCGCGGCATGTGGGATCTTCCCGGACCGGGGCACGAACCCGCTTCCCCTGCATCGGCAGGCGGACTCCCAACCACTGTGCCACCAGGGAAGCCCTAAAATTGAATAGTTTTATTCAATCTTTTCTAAGTTCATGAGAGACAGATTACTGCACACGAAATCCTCGGTTTTGATTGTCAGCAGGACATTTTTCTTAAGCCTGCTATTTGCTAAAGGAATACCAGCAACGACAATAACAATGAAGTAACAAATGAGTATCAGCCCTAAGCTCCGAAGGAGGGTCTTGCACTAACTTTAGTATCGTGTATATTCTTGGGTGCGTATTATGTTATGTACACTTTAATAGAGTCTGTTTTTCCGCTGTGAAATTCATTCTCAGCTTTTATGGTAGAATTAAATTTATCAGTATTCCATGCTGTTCAGCAAAGCAAGTGACCTTCTGTAAAGGACAGCGCCACCTCTTGATGCCCCTCCAGCAGCTCTGAGCGTTGTGTTAAAATACGCTTGCTAACTAAATAGCAGGGAATTTAAATTTTGAATGTAATTTAAACTCATTTGGTTTTATAAATCTATTCCTTTTTTCCCCACTTCCCTTATTTTTCCTTTTATAGCATTATTGAGATATAATTAAAATAAATAAACTGCACATATTTAAAATGTACAATTAGATCACCTATATACACACACGCGAAATCATCACCACAGTCAACATAATGAAATTTCCATCTCAGAAAACGTCCCTGGGCCCTTTGTAATCCATCCTTCCACCCCTGTCCCCAGGCAACCACTGATCTGCATTCTGTCACTGTAAGATTAGTTTGAATATCTAGCATTTCTTATGAATAGAATTATACAGTACGTTCCTCCATTCTTTTCTTTTTCACCTGGCTTATTTCACTCACCTTGATGAGTTTGAGATTCACCCGTGTTGTTTCATAGATCAGTAATTCATCCCTTTGAATTGCCGAGTAGTCTGCTGCGTGGAAATACCACAGTTTGTCTATCCATCCAGTCACCTGTTGATGGATACTTGGGGGTTTCCCCACATTTTTGACTATTACAAGTAAACCTACTATGGGCATTGTATTCAA